ATGGGTTTGTGCCCCGGTACGGGAAGATCCCACATGCTGCGGAGCGGCTGGTCCCGTGAGCCATGGCTGCTGAGCCTGTGCGTCTGGAGCCTGTGCTCCGCAACGGGAGAGGCCACAACAGTGAGAGGCCTGCGTATCACAAAAAAAAAAAAGAAAGAAAAGAAAGTCAAGGAAATTTCCCAAAATTTCAACTGCAAAGAGTAGGGGGTGGTAGAGATGGAAAGCAGAAGAATAACAAAATAAAAGATTCAATCCTGGTGGTCCGAAATCCAACATAAAGGAGTTCTAGACAGATGCAAGAAATAGAAAGAAATAGAAAAATAGAAAGCAAAGGATTATCAAAGGAATAAATCAATAGAATTTCTCAAAATTGAGTCTCTGAAATGTTCACTGAATATCTGTCAGGATAAATGAAAAAGTGAACACAATGGAAAAAGAGAAGACACCAAATCTTCCAGAGTGATGAATCAGATTGATTAAAAGGATCTGGAGCCAGAATAGAACTTCTCAACAGCAATACCCATGCCTGCAAGCCAGAAGTCTGGTCATCATCATCACCACTTGGGTGTGAATGACGATGCCATTCTCCAAATTAAGAAATATAGAAAAGGCTCAAGCATGTACAGGAAGTTAGAATTGGGCCCTTATGAACCTGAGCTACTATAGAACACAGAAAAGGAATGTGGCAAAGATTTAAGTAAATTAAAATGTAATATTTGCCTCTGATCTTCATTTTCAGAGTGAGCTCAGCTGTTTTGATATTTGCTCACTCTCTTACTTCCTGTCTTTGGGGTCAAGTAATATTTGAAATTATTTGAATGAAAAAAAATGTTGACTGCCATATCAGTAAACAAAGGGTGTTGCAGCCATCAAGCCATCACACTGCAGCCACCCCAAAGGTAAGCCTTTGAGGGAACTCAGGATAGAAGCAGGATGCCTGCCATCAAGCAGTCAATCACTGCAGCAATCCTCACAAAGGTGCACCCTGAGGAGACTCAGGATGGGAAAGCACAGGATATTGGACCCACATAGTTAAGGTGCATATCAAAGGAATGATTTCAATGAGCCCAGACTCTTGCATCTTCCCATATATAGAAAAGTGCTAAATTCCTTAACTTAAGCTATCTGGTTTTCTTTAACAGTAATCTTTTTATGTTCAGACTACCTGGTTTTTGTTGCAAAAACTCCTATATATCCTGAATCCTCCCTTACCTTTTTGGAGTGGTCCCTCAGAGTGATCTAAGAGTCCTGTCTCCCAGGCTTGGGCTTGAATTCCTCAGAAAATCCACCAAATAAAACATAACTCTCAACTTCTAGGTTGTGCTTTTTCTTTTCAGTCGACGATAGTTTCAGGAATGATTCACAAGTTCCCCTTACCTCAGGTAGATCTCTACCTAAGAAGATAACTCCCTCTCCTCCATATTTTGAAAGGGGTATGGGAAGAGGAAAAAGAAAGAATTGGAAAAGCATTGAGCAAGCAGGGATATCAGGGAGTACTGAATGTCCAAAATTACCACTCAAGAGGCTAGTTTAGCTTACACAGGAATTCTCAAAGGATCTTCCCCCCCAAACCAGTTCCTCCTCTACTTAATGCAAAGGTCACTCAGAATGAAGCTGTGACAAAGACCCTTACAGCCTGTACTTTTGGACTATCAATGTCTCACATTAGCACAGCAAATGGTGTTCAGTAAGTGTCAGCCTAACCTGTTCTCCCATTCCTTACTACTTTAGCAACTCCTTCAGAGTGTTGGTGAGGAAGTATATGAAAATCTGTATTGCATGGTTTATTAGGCTCTTATTAAAATAGTTGGCAAAGAAATTTAAAGACTGTGAGTTTAAATTCTTGTCATCTTATCCTTAATCATTGAAAAAAAAATGACTTCCACTGCAGTTTCTACTTTCCCAAAACTCTTACCTGAGCTTTAATAAGTGACATAAAATCCTGACTTGACCCACCTGTTAATGAACTGTGAGATGGCCTAAAGATGCCATCTCTAGATGGCCTAAAATAAATCAAATCCTTATGGTATTAATTTTAGAAGAAAGCAAAAATATTTCCGAAAAATGAATTCAGAAAAATGAATATCCAAGTGAAATTAACTCTGCTTGTTGTGGAAACACAGCAGTAGGAATAGTAATAAACAACCAAATAGCGGGAACAGCATAAACAAATACCAGGAAAGTTATTTTCAGAATTTGCTTACTTGATAATATTTAACACTGAAATCAAACATAAGAGGGTCATTAGAGAGACATTCTGCCTTACCCCACATAAGCAAGTAAGTAGTATAAAATCACTGATTTGGTCATCCCACACAAGAGCTCATATAGTAAATATGAAAACACAGCATTACATTACAAGTTGTTTCATATGGGTCTGTCTAGAGTGTGGAGGACTGGAGGGCAAGGACAATTGGAAAGGGCCTTACTAAAATCTGTTACAGCAGGACCCTGAGGGGCCTTCCTGAGTGCAGAATCTCCTCTCTGCCCCCAATTTCTTGATTGTAAAAAAAAAAGGCATTAGTCTTCAAGGTCTTCACTGAGTTCCAAAGAGAAGGCTCAAGCAGTTAATGATTAGGACAATAGAGTCACAGGACTGCTAGTTCCTCCTGAAGATAGATATACAATCTGATGTGTATCTTTGAGTTATTCTGTAGAAACTAAGACCCCCCCCCCCACCAAGGTGGAGGATGGTGACTACATGCTCACCACAAGCATGTAGGCCCCAGACTGGTTGGAACCAGAAGGTTGAGGTTTCCAAAACATCAGCCTATTACCTCACCATCAAACAATCAGAAGAATGTCCACAAGCTGATCACAAAACATATGACCTTCTTTCCTAACACTGTCTTTAAAAACCCTTGCCTGAAAGCCATTTGAGCATAAGCTGCCTGTTCTTCTTGCTTGGTGCCCTGCAAATAAATCCTTACTTTGCTGCAAACACCCACTGTTAGAGTTTGGCTTTCTGTAACATGGGCACAGGAGCCCTTGTTCAGTAACACTTATCTTTAAACATAGTGGATATTCAAGATTTTTTTAAATGACAGTGAAATTATTTCTTTAGTCAATCTGATCTAAAAAAAATCCCCAAATCGATGTGCATTAAAAAAAAAAAGAGGAAATGAAGCCTGCAGATTTTACTTTCTCATAATTCATGATAAAAATAGTCCTAGTTATACCAATTGTCCTATGAATCAGGTCAAAATGATTCAACTAATAAATGCTCCCTACTGGGATGTTATGCTGAATATTTATAGTAAGCTTTACCAGTGTTCTTACAGAGGAAATAATTTATCACAAACTGTCAAACAGTTTAAAATAAAACAATCTATTCTACAGGAGCAAAAGCTGCTGCCCCAAAATGTCTCTTTGGCATGTAGATTATTTTGAGCTGAAAACAACAGTACCAAAAAGACTCAGGAAGAAAACTTCAACCTTCCTCCTAGCTGCCTAAAAATATGTAGATAGAGCTGTCCAGGAAGGGAGCTATCATCATAGGTAACTATTGTATGAACTAGATGTGTAGACTGGGAGGAACCTAGCAAGGTCTCTTTGTTAAAATTTCTCTTGTCTCCATGTGGCCGAGAACACATTTGTTTACCAAGCATTTGCTTTCCCATCTCCATGTGAATTGCCTTCCTCCCCTTCCAGGTACCAAACCACTACCCCCAACACCCTTTTTTGCCTTTAGCTGAAGAGGGCTTTTAAGGTGAGGGCTGCAGCCATTTTGGTGAGTTACTCATTTTTCCTGAGTCTCTCCCACTGTATACATGTTATATATATATTTTTTCTCCTGTTGATTTGTTTCAAATCAATTTAATTCTTAGACCAGCCCGAAGAATCAAGATGGGTAGGGGGAAATTTCTTCCTCCTCAACAAGAACAAATTCAGGATATTCCACTTCTAAAGTAAAGAATCCTTACCTAACAAAGGTTAAATCAATCTTCAGGTTATAATATGGGATCAAACTCTGCCTGAAAACAATTTAAAAGCAATGTAAATGCATTTCCTGTAAACTTATGGCACATGTTTATTAGCATTATTTTGTAGCTTTAGCTCCATTAATGATTATCACTCATTTGCATTAGAGAATTATGAGTCCAAGCCCCTCAGTCATCTTCTTGACTGAGATAAACACCTGAAAACAATTTCCTCAGGTTAAGCAGTGATGTGTGTGACAGATTTGAAATTAACCCTCCTCCCCTTTAACAACTGTGGCTTGTCTTTTTCAGTATTTAAGTCACTTGAAAGGGTGATAAATGGGTTCAGGTTATGCAGTCTCAATTGCCAATTCCAGATTAGTGGACAGAATCCTTACTGAATATTAATACAAATAACATATTTTGTTTTGTGATCTCCTAAGTTTAATAAAGAAAAAATCAAAAAGGCAATAAATTAAAATTTGACTATTCAGTTTGTTTATGCATAAAGAAAAACTGAACTGAGTAATCAGTAAATGCACCTCATGGTGAATTTCACTACTAGTAATAAAAAGACCTCTTGGGTTGAATATTCTGTCTCTAAACAATCATAGTTAGAAATCATTTTTAAAATGCTTTCCTGGGATGTCTTCTTTCTATAGACGTCTAGTTTTATTACTCATCTACTCGTTTTTTCAATTTAACTTTTTCAGTTTGTTTTCAGTTGGAATGACTTTTCAGAAAAGTAGAACCGGATAGAACACATCCGTAGTCACGTTGGAGAGAAGAGGGGATTGGGGTACGGAGGCTGAAAAAGGTACAGAGAAAACCAAGATTTCTCGCCCTCCTGTGCCCCTAGAAGAGCATCCCCAGCCTCCGCAGGACGACCCAGCAGGGGAACCGGGCCGCCCCTCCCCCATGGTCTCCTCCTTCCCCCGGGGACTAAAGAAGGGGGACGGCGCGTTCTATTGGGGGTTACCGGGCCGGCGCCAGGCTGCGATTGGAAGCGCCCCCTTCAGGCACCCGCCAGAAACACAAGCGCTGCAGCAGTCGAGGGCTTTAGTTTTTTTACGTCCCCCGCCCCCTCCCCTCCGCACTCCATGCCGGGTCTCTCTCCAGCTCGCTTGGGCTCGTTCGCGCCGCGTGAGAGTTGGCAAAAACCTCGCAGCCGCCGCTGCCGCCTCCGCCTCGACCCGGTTACCGCCCCAGCCTCTCCCCCTTCTCCCGAGCCCTCCGCTCCCGCCATGGGGCCAACATGGGGCTCCTAAATTGCCGCCTTTTAGCTGCGCGCTCTCCGGCCAAAGTCCTCGAGGGCCGGTTATGGTTTACGGCGCTAGAGGGGCCAGCACAGAGGTAACGGGAAGGGGAAAGGACGGCTAATTGGGGGAAACAAGGCCAAACGATGAGTTTCCAAAAGGAGGACGGAGTGAGCAGCCTGTGCCAGAAGGCGCTGCATATCGTCACCGAGCTGTGCTTCGCGGGCCAGGTGGAGTGGGAGAAATGCTCGAGCATCTTCCCCACGGACAGAGGCAGCCAGGGCGGAAGTAGCACAGGTAATTGGGGGAGGGCTCCGGTCGCGACCTCCCAGTCGTCTGGGACCTGCGTCCTCTCGGCTCTAAGCTCCCGGGTCCTGAGCCTTCAGTGCGGCGCCGGCGCATCTTTGGGACGCCGCGCTTTCCTATCCTACCTCGCTCCTTCCTTCTGGTCAGCTCCTGGTGACTTCCAGCGTGGACTCTTCGGGTTTTGTCTCCTCGCCTCCATCTGCCCGGCTTCTTCCACTTCTCTGGTCCACTCCATACCCGCCGGCGCCGTCTCTCGCTCCCAGGCGCCTGCACCCCCTCTCTCTGAGCTTTCCCACGCCTCCGATCTCCCTCCCGGAGTGGAGGGGCGAGCGCGAGCGGCGGCGTCCGACCATTAGCCGAGCGCTGCCCTCGGGGGCCATTCGCCACCCGGACTCTGGTTGCCCTAGCTTGTCCCGCGGGTGGTGGGTCGCGGCTTGGGGAGGGGGCCAGGCGGAAGAATCCGGGCGTGGACGCAAAGAACCGCGTTGGAAATGGGGCTGCCTTGGCCCCCGAGAGCAGAAAGGATCCCTGTAGGGATAACCCGCGGCCGCAAGCTGTCTAGCATTTGACAGTGTGCAAAGCCCTTTAATACATATAACTTTATAGGGCTTCATGACAACGTTGGCCCAACAGCAGGGATTATGGATCCCATTTTTGACGCGACAGGTAAGGCTCAGTGCACATACAGATTTACGTGGAACAGAGGCAAAGGGTTATAAATCCTTTCTACACACGTGCTCATATACCCCCCAACACAGGCACCCTCTCTGCTCCTTCAAGAAACTTGGGGGGAAGAAACGGGGTGGGGTGGAGGAAACACATCGACCTTCAGAAATCTGGAGGTGGAAAGAAGTCTCAGGTGACAGATTTTTCTCAAAGGGGTGTGGGGAGCGTATCAGAGCCACTGTTTTGGTCATGCTTGGGGGAAAGGGTTTTTTACGACCTGCGCTATGTGCAGCCTGTTGTGCTGTTGACGCGGGCGAGATGGATTCCGGGGGTTGCTGGCCGCGTGGTTTTAAGAGTCCCTTGTGAGAGGGTCACTTGTTGCTTTGGGAGACGAACACTGGTTGGGGATTTTCGTCATCGGGCTGGAAGGTTATCATTCCTTCTGTAGGGTCTTGTTTCTTTCCCCTTACTTTCCCGTCATTTTAGTCACCTGACAGGGCTTCGTGGGTTGAGGGTAACCAAGGCAACAGGTAAGAGCTGGACCGTAGCTCAGTGTGGAACGTGAGGTGGAGAGCTCTGTGCTGGGGAGGAGGCAAAGAGGGCACAGTTAGTGATCCCCTCATCCACTACCACCAAATACAAAGGGAGAGGGGATGGAGGTGGAGGAGAGATGTGGTTTAGTCTTTGCGTACCATTATTTAAGTGGAATATTTGCACTCTTAAAATTCTCTGATCTTGGCAATAGGAACCACGAGAGGCTTCTGTATGCACTTGGCAGAACCTGAGGAGTTGTTGCTATTTGGGCCCTGGATCGGAATGATACATAATTGCTTCTGTACATATTCTGGAAACGTAGACATTTTGTGAATTTTTATAAACACAACAGAGTCTTCCATTTGTTCATCAGGTGTTAAATTGCTAGGAATGTATGAAACTCAACTACTATTGGAAGGCACTGGGTGAACATTGTGTATATGCTTGTCTTGTGCATGGTAGCTAAGCATGAGATAAACACTCAAAATAGAGTGAACTTAAAATCCTGTGTGGTGAATGGATAAGTTGCTCTGAAATGTCTTTGATGATACACTTGCTAAAGATAAGACTAAGAGAAGGAGGTGAAGTGAAAGAAATGAGAGTATTTAAGTTTAAAGATCTGTACTTTGGTCATTTAACATTTGATACTGTGGATAAAACTACTGATTTCCACCACTACCCCTTGTGATCATACACCAAATAGTGGTTTCCTGGGTCTCAAATTGATTGATAATGAGGAAAATTTGAAGGTTGGAAAACAAACACTAGCTCTTAAATCTTTATAAATACACAATTATCAGCTTAAGGTAAAGCACAGTATATGAATTGTAGAAAGGGTTCTGAGCCCGTCCTAAGCGCTACAAGAAGTAGTTGTAATCCTAATTCCTTTTGGACTTTCCCTTGGGAACAAAAAGTGGACAAAACATAGTCTAAAACAATTACATGGATATTTTTCTGCCCTTAGGGGAAAATATGTACTATTCAAATGGGGTATTCAATTTAATATATGAATATTTATTCAATGGCTGTCACTAGAAAAGACATCCTACTAGGTTGTGTATGAGATATAAAGATGCACAAGATTGCTTTACATTTTCCATTTGTAAATCTATGCAACAATTAGAAGTACAATACTTTAATCTGCAAATATACTCCCAATACCAATATATATCTATGAAACGGATCAAAGATTATTTACAAGTCTTTAATTATATTAATTAGCCACTCAGCTTCACTTTTTTCTTTAAAGTAAACTTTCTTATAACTTATGTACTTGTGTCCTTTATTAAAGATCCCTACGTAAACACACTTACAGTAGGCGAGCCTTCTATTCACTGTTTGTTTAAAGAGAAACACATTATTGGTAGGAGGACATGGACATTGAATGGTACAGTGGTTTTTTACTTTCAGCACTGCCCAGATGGTGTCAGTTATTCTAAGGTTGCAGTGACAATTGCAAGCTTCCAGATTGTGTATATTTTTAGATTCCTTCATATAAGTGTAGAGGCAGAGAAGTGCAGGTGTAGTCCTCCTTTAGTCTCCATGGGGGATTTGTTCTAGGAGCCCCCACAGATAACAAAATTTGTGATGCTCAAGTTCCTTATATAAAATGATGTAGTATTTGCATGTAACCTACAGCACTTCCTCCCATATACTTTATATCATCTCTAGATTACTGTTAATACCTAAATCAATGTAAATGATTATGTAAATAGTTGTAAATACAATGTAAACAATGTAAATAGTAGACTGTGTAACAAATTCAAGTTTTGGTTTTTTGAACTTCCTGGAATTTTTCTTTTTTTAAAAAATATTTTCAACCTGTGGTTGCTTGATCCCATGGATATGGAACATGGATACAGAGGGTTGACTGTAATCCTAAAGTTATTCTACCTTAAAGAAGTCATGAATCATATATATAAATAAGGTATTCTCCTAATGTTTTTTTAATGCCAGTAAGGAGCAGCTTCACCATTCTCTACCATTTACTACTGCAGCAGTAACAGAAGCAGCAGCAGTGTTATTGACTTGAGGATCAAGCAATTGACTTGAGGATCAAGCAATTAAGTCGACAGATCCCATATTTAGTAAACTTTACAAACTTTACAAAAACTTAACTGCAGATGGCAACACTAGTTTGGAATAGTTTTTTTAGAGACATTATTGATGCCAACATTACTAGTACACTGGAAAGTTCATCATGTGCTATTTTTTTAGAAAATCAGATTTTTGCAGTCTTTTTGCCACTGATTCTCCCTGTCCCCCTAAATAGATAGATCACCCACTAAATTCATTAATTTATTGATATAATAGGACTTAATGCTATAATGCTTAGGGAAAATACAAAACAATATATTGGCCTTAAATGTGATTTTTCATACATACTGTGATTGAATATACATAAGAGTTTTTGAACTTCATTTGAGTTCATTTCTGGTCAGTCTTTAATTGCTTCTCCATATCCAAATCCCTATGAGGTTTTAGGAAACTTTGTTGCTTGAAAAGCAGACCTCATAAATGCAGCTAATCAAACGCACTTAAGCTCATAGTTGCATCACAACTGTATAGACCTAACCATAATTTAAATATTTTAAATAAACATTTAATTCATTAATGTTATAAATTTTCACTTTTACACTTTTAATTTAGTAGTAAAAATTCTAAAATAAACATTTAAACAAATTATTCTAAATTCATATGTGTGTTCTTCAATTTCTTAGATGTGGGAGCAAGTAGGTATTTATATGGCAAACACTTTCACTGAAGTTACTTGACTAATAAGAATGGTACTGGTACTATTAATTAAATGTTGTGCACAGTTGTTCAAGTTAATGTAAATGTAGAATTAACATACAATCACAGATTATAAATCATTTATAAATCATTTACTCAATTACGAATATATGTAAAGATTTCTCATTTGGAAACTCCATTCAGTTTTCTACCTCTGTATGAATTCCCTGTCAACAAATTAGCCAATAAATTTGGCTAATTTAATACGATATTTGGTACTATACTTGATACCATATTTTATTGAATCTAAGATGCTATTGATTACAAGACACATTATTTTATATGATACCAAAAAAGGAAAAAGAAGGATGCAAATTAAATTATGCTTTCTTATCACATAGAATTTTTTATTTTATACTTATGGAAAAACTTCTAAAAGCTAGACATAAATTTTTAATATCATATATCACTCTTGTACAAATATAAAAAGGAAAGTATAAAAGACATATAGGTTAAAATAATTTAAAAAATAAAGTTTTGAGTCTGAATCTTCTGAATGGCTTTTTGATTGAGAATTGGTGATACCTTTGTTTATCCTCTCATCATTGGACTCTTTGCCATCAAGAATGCTGTCAAGACTAGTAATGATGCACTTTTTTCCACGCAGGATTTCATAAGATATAAAATCTAGTGTTGTTGTGCTCTAAAGCTAGCTGTACAGTTATGTCGAATGTTGGCAATGTTGCCAAACTCATCTGACCCAACAAAAGTTTGGCTTATGAGGGTTACGGGTCTGTTTCGCTATTTTCTCCAGTATTTTCTTCCAAGCCAATTTAGACTCATTCTGCGACTTCTGATGCTGATGTATTTGCTTTAGCACATACACAGAGAAAACTATGACACACTTACTTAATGGCTATTAGCAATTGTAACAAGCTTGTTATTCTTCATCCAGCTGTGTGGAACATAGACATTAAGCTTGCCATCTTGGACTTTAACGAGAAAGCAAAAACCTTTGAATAGAAAAGCAAAAATATGGAAGAAACCAGGATTCCAAA